CTCCTGGATCAAGTGATGGGTACCGGGGAGCAGTGGAATCTGAGGGGGGCTGAGCTGTGTTCTTTGGCTCCACCACACCTGGATTTTGGACCCTGTCCTGTAAACTCGATGACTCTGTTAAACCCAGTGGGCAACATGCAGCCAGTCTATTAACTCAAGTGGCAGAGGCTCCTGCTGTTTAAGTGGGACAGACGCAGTGACTAGCCCGGGCGCTGTCGGTCCAGGGGAGCTGTGTCATTCATGGAGACTATGCCCTGCGAAGACCTTTCGTTTCCCCGTTCTGCAGAACTTGCCTCGGTCGTCCTCATGGGATGTGAAACGCCCTGGGAATAGGCAGCAAGGCCTCTTCCATTCACCTCGGTGCCAGAAGGGGTTTTTCTCTTGCTGCCATAAATCCACCCCCAAGAGGCAGACACTAGTTCGAAGAAGGGTTCTTCCGTCAACCTCGCGGTGTCTACACCGGGGCTTCGGTCGGCTTAACTGCGCCTCTTGGGTATGAATTTTTCACACCCCTGAGCAACGTAGCTCCATTTTAGGTGTAGACCAGGCCCTAGTGGGATTTGAGAGGGGACGTATCTATGGGTAACCCGAAGACCCCCAATTATGAGAACCAGTGCTACCACAAACCCTGCCAGGGAGATTAAATCTCCTGGTTCAGGGCGTAAACCCATTTCTCAATATTAGAGACCAGGATGAGACTTACAAGGTGGGGTGGAATTCCCCACGTCTGCCCACTGCGGGGTTCTTGCACATTCCTCTGAAGCATCTGGTGCTGGCCAAGGTCAGAGACGGGATACCGGGCTAGATGGGCTACCAGGGCTGGGAAACTCCCTCCCAGCTGCTGTATGGACACTAGGGGACAGGCTCACTTTGGTGTGGTACTGGGGACTGGGCCTTTAAGCGGGGAGCTTCCCAGCTGGAGACTGAGGGTGTGTCTACACTGCATGCTAAGCCTGGTCTGCGGGACCTGGGCTTGTATACTCGGTGTTTCCAAGTCCGCGCTTGAGTGTCCACACTGCATTGTAAACCTGGGATTAGAGTGTCTGGACTCGGCTCACAGCTGTACTAATGGATCCATACTGCATTACGCAGACCATCTGACTGGGGTCTGGGGCTTGATCTGTGTCCACACTGCAGAATGATAGGGTTTGGACCCAAGTCTGAGCAGGTCTCGGGCTCTGACCCACTCCTAGCAGCATCCTCGGACCCAGCTTGCTGACCCAAGTCAGACTGATTTGTGTGTGGATGCAACGGTGGGCTGGGCTCAAACCTGAGTCAGAGCCTGGGCTTAGTGCTCAGTGTAGACACACCCGGAGTGTTCGGGTGGGTGGCTGTGAAGCTCTTGTTATGCTCAGCCACTTGGAAGGAGACCTGGAATAAAGCAGGCATCTTGCAAACCCCGCCCGCACTGAGTAGTCACTGAGCGCCACCACCTGACAATACAATCCAAGAATCCCAAAGGGGGCTTAAAGTCACCTGCTCCACTCCCCGTCCCTGCCTCTGCCAGGCCCAGGGGAACTGCAAATCCGGCTGCAATGGTCAAGAGAACCCCATCGCCCCATCCCAGAGTGGTTCCGGCCCACCAGATAAACAAAAGGCCCCTTTGCTACTCACCCCCTGGAGCCAACAGCAGGAGGCTACAGAGCAGCAGCCCCATGGCTGGCCACATGCCCTGGACTTCTGCTTTTGGGTAAGTGTGCTGCAGTGTCTCTGTATGACCGGGTGCAAGGGGAGCGGCCTTGTAAAGGCCCTGTGCGGCGCACAGGAAGCTGGGCTTGGCCACAAGATGCCCGGGTGTGAATTCGGCTTTCCTGCCAAAGCTGGATGTCTGTGGCAAGCCGTGGTCGAATGCATCCGCAGAGCAGGTGGCTCAGGGGGTAGCCAGGAGCGTTGTTATCGCCAGGGTTAGGATTTTGCTGGCAGCCCAAGGAAAGGAGAGCACTGAATGGTATCGCATGGAGGCAGTGGACCTAGGGGCACAGGGGGGTCTAGTGGCTAGAGCAGGGGGCTGGTGGCCAGCACTCTTGGGTTCTATTCGTGGCTCTAGAAAGGAGAGTTGTCCAGTGAAAATCAAAGAGGGACTCGGTGTAATTTCTGCTGGCGTCTGTTCCCAGCTGCGGGCGGGACAGTGTTCTAACTGCTAGAGCGACAGATTGGGAGACAGGACACTTGGGTTCTGCACCTGGCTCTGCCCCTGAGTTGCTGCCCGGCTTTGGGCAGGTCACTTCTCTGCCTCTTTCTGCCTCAGTTTCCCCCTCTGCAACTGGGCAACGCAATCCTTGTGTTTGCAAAGTTCTTCAGATCCTTGCATGAAAGGTCCCACAGCTGCACAAAGCCTTGTTTCTCCTCTTTGTTGTAATGGAGCATTTAAACCTCGAGGGGCTATTTAATGCACCCCAAATGCCTTTGGTTATTGGGTAAAATCTGGGGACCACCCACTGCTTAGTTTGTGATGAAAGAGGTGCTGGGTCTCAAGCCATTTTTATTTAGTTTCATAACTGATGCAGCAAGCCCAGCGGTGCCGGGGCTCTGAACTGCCAGGCCCAGAGAAGCCGGGGCTCTGAACTGCCAAACCTGGAGAGTCCGGGGCGCTGAACTGCCCGGCCCCGCGGTGCCGGGCCTCTGAACTGCCCGGCCCGGAGAGTCCGGGCCTCTGAACTGCCCGTCCCGGAGGTGCCGGGGCTCTGAACTGCCCGGCCCGGAGAGTCCGGGCCTCTGAACTGCCCGGCCCGGAGAGTCCGGGGCGCTGAACTGCCCGGCCCGGAGGTGCCGGGGCTCTGAACTGCCCGTCCCGGAGATCCCGGGGCTCTGAACTGCCCGGCCCAGAGATCCCGGGGCTCTGAACTGCCCGGCCCAGCGGTGCCGGGGCTCTGAACTGCCCGGCCCGGAGATCCCAGGGCTCTGAACTGCCCGGCCCGGAGATCCCGGGGCTCTGAACTGCCCGGCCCGGAGATGCCGGCGCTCTGAACTGCCCGGCCCAGCCATGCTGGGGCTCTGAACTGCCCGGCCCGGAGATCCCGGGGCTCTGAACTGCCCGGCCCGGAGATCCCGGGGCTCTGAACTACCCGGCCCGGAGATGCCGGGGCTCAGCAGCTGGACTACCTCTCCACTCAAAGCCAGTGCAATGAAGTCACTGCTGCTCCCTGTCCAGGGTAACCAGTCGCTCCAGGGCATTCTCTGGGCTCTGTCCTTTACTGGAGGCATTAGGTTGCCCTCAGTTTGTCTAGGGCAGCTCGCTCCCGTAGCTAAAGCGACCGTTGGGCTGATCCCATAGAGCTTCTATGGGGCAAGCGGCATGAGACTTCCTCCAGGAGGGGGCTCCTGTGCTGTGAGGCCCCTCGGCAGGCGGGGAAGCTTGTCCTGTCCCCAGGTCCCATGGTGCATGGAGCATGTGAAATCGGGGATTGCATCAGGCTGGATGCAGTAACCCACAGGATGGGGGCTGGTAGTTTTCTGCTCTTGGGGTGGGGGAAGAGGCCTGTGGCTCGATTCTTCTGCTACCTCAGGGTGTGCTGGAGAGACTGGAGGGTTTGGTGCAGCGTGTCTGCATTAGGGGTTTACTGGCTCTGTTGGTGCAAATTTCCCCTACCTAGACCCCCCGAGAAGGCAACGACTTCGGGGGATGGAGGAGGGAGCCCCTTGCTCGCTGGGACGAGGTAAAACCAGCTTGTTCAGGATGTACAAACTGTCGTCTCCTGGGACCCAGGTGGGGAAAGCAAACGGGTTTCCTCATCAAACAGTCCCACCATCCTGCGAGCAGCTGAGGAGCCGGAAAGCATCACCTTGTGACAGGCTGGCTCTGGGTTGCAGACAGAGGGCCACATCCCATCTTCCAGAGCCCAGCGGTGCTGGGGGGAAATGTCTCCACATTCGACAGCATCAGACACGAATGACTTCCCCAGCCCAACCCACTGGCATCACTTTTCATGCTTGTTCAGCTGGTGCCCAGCAAGACATCCTGGAGAAAGGCCAACCCAATAAAGTGAAGGGTGCCCGAGCGGAGCCGCTCCTCAGAGCTAATCAGACCACTTGTCGTCTCTCTATCCCAGGACACACCCATCACTCTCCATGCCACTGCTCTCTTCTGGTTGGAATCAGAAATGCTCAGCTGTGTGTCATTGGCCCTATACTGCTTATATGTAGTGGAGAGTCTCTGGTCGCTGAAGAGGCAAGGCCCTGGATTATTAGCAAAGCTATTAGGCCCAGATCCACAAAGATATTTAGGCTCCTAACTTCCACTGGAATCAATCGCAACCCCTGCTTTTAGCGTGAAATGGAAATAGCAAGCAGCCTATGAGTGCAGGAAATGTGATTGGTCACAGGTGGCTCCGGATTGGTCACAGCATGGGGAGCGACTCTCACACACTCTTCCCTGCACAGTCTGATAAGCCGCCCCCCGAGGAAGAGGGCCTTGGGAGGAACTGGGCTGAATTTATTCTGCTTGGGATGGCAGGCGGGAGGCCCTATTCACACCAGATCCCGTCCCGTGTTTGTCCTGGTAACCGGCTTCCTTCCTTGCTGGACATTCCTGAAGTTCGTTATTCGGTGAGCCAGGGAAGAGATTTAAGCCCAGTGATATGAAATGGCCAGGAGAGCTGCTCAGTGGGGCTGCTCCTTGTTCTAACCCCTGGAGGGAATATCCCGGGGGACTCAGGGGTGCCTGCTGCTGGCTCTCTCCTGCTGCACCTGCCCATCCTTGCAGAGCTGGGATACACGCAGCTGGGCTTCACCGGGGCCTTTCGTGCCACAGACCTAGAACCTCACCCCTGCCCTTTCCAGTGGGAGGCGGCAGGCTCGGGCCCTACCCCAGCATTAGAAACGCACAGAGGACGGCGTCGCAGAGACGGTAACCCTAATGCCACGGGACAGGCTCTTTGCAGCGAGGTAGCCCCCCAAGGAACGGCCTTGCTCCTGAGGTGAGATCCCCTGCCAACCAGGAGCTCGGCTGAAGGGCCCCCTTAAACCGGTTCCCTTTTGGCTGGGTGGGAGCGAGGTAGAACTGCGAGGGGCCTGCTTGGGACAAACCCGGATCCCGCTCATGAGTGTAAATGGTGATGGAGAACCCAGCCCTGTTACTGGCGAAAAGGCGGCAGGTGGCCTGATCCTGGCTGTTAAATTTCAATAGCTGCCGAAGCCAAGCGTGGTCGCGTACTGCCACCACCTGGTCTGAATGCAGTTTGTTCTTTGCTTGCAGTGGGGCGGTAGCTGTGTGGGTGGCAAGATATTAGAGGGACAAGGTGCGGGGAGGCACCCGACTTCTGTGGGGGGAAGCAGGGGACAAGCTTTCAAGCTCCCCAGAGCTCGTCTTCAGGTCCATTGAAGTTGCTCCAATAAAAGATGTGATCTCCCACACAAGAGACAGGGCTTCCTGCAGGGGTCCCTGGGTGAAATCCCATGGCCTGCTTATACAGGCTGGTGAACGCTTCTGGATCTAACCCTATGGGCATGTCGAGTTACATGACTCACCTCTGTCAACACCATCTCCTCCCGATAATCCTTGGAGAGCGACATTTTAAACTTTAGTGCAATTGATTTAATGAGTTTTAAGGACCGAGAAAGCACGGAGCTGGTGTGCAGTGTGGATGGGAAGGAGAAAAGTAGGGCTATAGTAGCAGGAGAGGAGGAGGTGAGGTGTCCTAGACTTGGTAAGGGGAAAAGGATGGGGTTAGAGTGCCCCTCCGGGGTAGATGGGTCTAGCCCCACCTATGACCCTAGATAAGGATCACTGGGATTTGAACTCAGGTCTGTAGGGTTACTAGGAAACCAACAGTGCCCTACTGCTGGTTGCACCCTAGGATGTTACTCCCGCAATCAACAGCTGTTGCACTCTGCAGGAAGTTCCGCCTTGTGTGATCTGACTGACAGTTCCCTTAGTGATCCCTCATTGGCTCTTTGACCCTATATAAGCCCATGGGAAGGGGTGGGCCGTGTTCAGGGAGCTCGGTCGGTCGGTCGGTCGGTCGGTCGGTCGGTCGGTCGGTCGGTCGGTCGGTCGGTCGGTCTTTAGTGCTGATTGCCCAGTGTCTGAGTTCTTGGTACTGACCTTGGCCCTCACTTGGTCTCTGACTGACCCCTGGAGCCCCAACATGGACCCTGGTTTTCGCTCGGACCCTTGACTCGACTGGTGACCCTGATACTGGTTCTGACACCCGGCTTCTGGTCCGGCCTCCCTCTGCCCAGGGTCTTGACACTCACTTACTTCACCTCCCCAAGTGGAGAAAATGAACAAAGTCACATGAGGGGCTGGGCCTGGGGCAGACCTGGGCTTTCTGGGGTGGAGATGAGACAGACGCCTGGGGAGAGCTGCAAGGAAAGACCCCCAGGTAGGAAACGCTGGGTGTTGCTGCTCCATGGAGACACTCAGCAGAGCCCAAGAAGGGCTGGGGAGGGACGCAGACCCTCAGGCAGGAGGAGATGGGCCCAGCTTCAGAAGGGGGTGGAAGACTCTTGTTTGTTTTGGCCGTGGGTACCCTGGGTGGGGTAGATGTCTCCTTTAAGGACTTGGCTGGAGGGCCAGGTTACCATGGCAACCAAACCTGGCTGCAAGGTGGGGAGATCTGACCTGAGTGAGGAGAAACTGAGGCAGCCGCTGCTAGCCTGAAACCGGGCTGGGTGAGTGAATCTGTTATGGTGCCCTCTATATGGGGAGGGGAAGGGAGGGGAGGGGGTTAATGTAGCCTACACCTGGGAATGGGTGACAAAGGCCAAATTCTCTGCTGGTGAAAATGGGCCAGACTCCATGAAAGTCAATGTGACCCTGCTGCAACTGGTGACTTGGCCCGAGCCTGCGGCCTTTGTAGATCGGGTAGGAGGTGAATGAAAATGTGATGCTTTCATAAGAAGCAATAGCCCAGCAGACAGAGGGGCTGGTTGTGTTTTCTCTGGCAGCTTCAGTGAAGTGAAATTCGGGGGGTGTGAAATTAACAAAGCTGAGGGGCAACATGATTATGTCAAGTCTCCCCCGCCCCCACATCTGTCCCTTCTTCCCAGGCGTGGTTCAATCCCTGCTTTCGCGCTGGGAGTTGTCGTCTTAGGCAGCAGGCTTGCCATCAGGCAACGACAGCCTTCGTGATACAGGATGACCAGGAGCCGGCTGCAGTGTGTCCTAAAACAAACACATGCAGGACTTGCTTAGTTCAGGGTGAGGAGAAGCAGGAAAGGCAGGGATCACTGTGTGCAGCAGAGCCCTTCTACAACAAAACTCCTGTTAGGATCACGTGTCGCTCTGTCTCCCTAGCTGAAGTATCTGATTCATAGAATTTAGGCCCAGAAGGGACCATTGCACCATGAAGCCTGACCTCGTAAAGACACAGGAACCAGGACGCTTCTTGGCCCAAGTCACTACCCCTCTCCGTTAGACCCCGCTGCCTTGCTCATGAGCCTGTGCACCTGGCAGCTCGCTCCTGCAGGTTTTCTTCTGGCTACCTGCGAGGCAGAGAGCTGCGATCACCCCTCTTTACAGAGAGGTGAAGGGACTCGCCCCAGGTTACAGAAAAGGCCTGTAGCAGAGCTGGGAACAAACCTACATTTCCTGAGCACCATTCCCATCCTTATTGAAGGCAATCCAGGCCGTCGCCCATATCAGCCCCTAGCACTGCGCCTTCCCTGTGCCTGGCAGCAGGTTTCAGAGTTAAAATGAACAGGGCAGCTCACGCCTCTGGGAGCTGTTGTTTCAGGCTGCCAGCAGACTCAGGCAGTTCCACATCAGCAAGCTCTATTTTTCTCACAGGAGGGATAGAAATCATACCTTTAAAAGGCAAGCTTGAGATTCTGTTGTAGAGCCACGAACCTGGGAGCGGGGCTCCGGACATTAGAGCGTACACCTGACAGGTTATCTGCCTCTGGTGCCAACATTTCCCTTCATCAGGCTTGTTGCTGCAGGGTGTCCATCGATGGAGGTCAGGAGGGTCACTGCTCCCCCATGTGTGGTTTGCTAGGTGTGCCCCGGAAATGAGGGGGTTTTTCCCTTGCTTAGAAGCAGGCTGCAGATAGGTCTGGTGCTGCATGGAAGGAAGAGAGGATGTTGCACTAGTGGTCTGGAATGCACGTCTACTGGGCTAGATGGCCCCCTGGTCTGACCTAGTAGGTCAAAGGATGCAGGGTTAAGAGTGGTGCTGAGGATTTATACAGCACTCGGCAAACAATGAACCCTCACAAACCCCCCTAGCCACCAGGTGACCTCAACCCCGTTCCCAGACTGGGAGATTGGAACAGAGAGAGGAGGGGACCCGCTCAAGGTCTCGCAACAGACTAATGGCAGAGGTGGGACGGACATTCACCTCTCCCAGCCCTGGGCTCTGTGCCATAGCTAGGCAGGGCCTCTTGTGGATTGGTGAGCTGGTCTGATATGCCAGGAGCCGGGCTGTGAGGCTAGCTATTGCTCTGATGTAATGGGGCCTAGATGGATGGCAGGAGATGGGGTCGAGGCATTCGTGAGGAGCTCGGCGCGTGGTGATTTCTGAGCCAAAATCTTCCTGTACCCAGAGCTCTCTGCCCATTAAGAATTCCAGCATGATGTAAATGACGCTTTGCATCTCACGTCACTGCAAAAACACCAGTGTGTCAAGCCAGGAGCCCCAACCCCATTTCACAGAAGGGGAAACTGAGGCACGGGTGGGGGAGCAGCTTATCCGTGGTAAGGAAAGGAGGCAGGAAGAGAACCCAGGAGGTGTGACCCACCCCAGGAAATGATCACTTGCTGCCCCTGCCCTTTCGCTGCAGAATTCATAGCGGATGATGGTTGCTGATGTGGAGCTGTGGTTGTGGGAGGCCCATGCTGTGCGCTTGTAGGGCAGGGGTTTATCCGCCGGTCACAGGAGAAGCTGGAGAATGGACCCCTGAACAGGTGAGGCTCCTGCCTTCCCAGCATGGGTCCAGCTGAAGGTCACATGATCTGTCCTCCCGGTCCCCGCCGTGCAGTTCAGTTCGAGGCTGCAGGTCCCTTCCGCCCAGCGCGATATCTGCAGGGCGAGGGAAGAGCCAGCCCCGGAGGCTGTTAGGGGATCATGTCAAAATACATCACGATGGGTGAATCGAGGCTGACACCCCAGAAACAGTCTGTACGCATTCCTGGTCATCTTTATGCCTGGCAACTTGCACTAACGCTGAGCTTTCAGATCAGACACACGATGGACGGGCACGGATCTGCAGCTTGGAACAGCAGGCCCGGAAAGAGGGCGCAAGGCCGGGTGTCCATTCTGCACGGGCAGGTCCGGACGCTGCCCTGGCTGAGAGAGGCAGACTGAGAGGTTTCTTTTCGCTCGGCCCTGAGCTGTTCTGCAGAAAGCAAGATACAAGAGAAGTCTTGTATGACTTCCTTATTCACGCGTTTGGGCTGCTGTGACACAAGGCTGGCGTGGCGTGGTCTGGGATGGACAGAGTAGATGTGACAGTTCATCACTCCCTAGTTTTTGCTTACGGGCAGTTCGCAGATGACCTGCCCCCTAGGAACTGCGTGGGGACCAGCCTAGCTCTGTCCCCACAGACTAATGAGTGTCCAGCAAATGACAGCGGCTTACTCCCTGCCCGGGCTGGGTCTTGAAAGCCATGATTAATTTGGCCACACTGGAAAATGAATGCAGACTGAGGTCGGGTGTGAATTTAAAGCGCAATAGTTATTCCAGAATAGAAACTTTGTGTAGATTGGAGATTACAGGGTAAGGGTGTAATTCTAGAGTAACTCCCATTCAAGTCAATGGGCCTGATTCTCAGTTGCTCTGTTCCGAGGCTGGAAGCAGGGGATGAGGGTGGGGTGGGTGGGCTTAAATTGGATTTAAGTTTCCTTTGCATTCCCTGTATTCTGGCCCCTGATGTAAATTAGAGCAGCCTCAGGGCTGCTCTAACTTACAAGCTGCTTCCATTACCCCTGCGAAGTAAAGAACAGCAACGCACGTCGGCCGCAACCCCCAGCTCAGGTCTCCCAAGTCACTGCCCTTGTCTGGGGAGATTTTGACGGACCAGGAGAAGGCTGGGACGGCTACGGGTAGCGTAATATGGATTCTGAGGCTTATCATTACTGTGCCTTGGCACAGTATTTCCCAAATGCGGCCACGACAGCCTCCAGGGCGGTGATGGGGGGAGGGAGCAAAGCATCGGCCCTTCCCCCTCCTGCTCCTTACCTGTTGCTCCTGGATGTGCCACCCTGCACTGACTGGAGACGGGGAGGGGGAGGAGGAAGGGACACAAACAGGAGCAAGGTGAGTTCTCAACCCACCTTGGGTGGCGAGGGATGGTGGGGCCTGGGGTGGTTGGGTCCAGCTCCCAGCCCCTGGCTCCAGCCACATGGTGGTGAGGCTCACCACTCCCTCCCCCATCACTCCTAGGCCCCAGCTCCCGCTGCCTCCCTCGGCCCCGCATCCACCCCCTCATCGCCCCTGCTGCCTCCCCCGCCACCTGGGGCTTGCTGAGAAGAGTGATATTAACAAACATGCAAGTACCACCTTTCACAGCAGATGTACTAGCATGCAATGCCAAGTAAAGCACCTGGGAAAACATCATCCCAACTCTACAGATACAACGATGGGGTCGAAATGAGCTGTTAGGAAGGAAGAGATCTTGGAGTCGTTGTGGGTAGTTCTCTGAAAACATCCACTCAATGTGCAGTGGCAGGCGACAAAGCGAACAGAATGCTGGGAATCATTAAGAAAGGGATAGATAATAAGACAGAAAATATCGTATTGCATCATATTGTGGATAAATGTAAAGTAACGCACATTTGAAAAAATAACCCCGACTATACATACGATATGATGGGGGCTAATTTAGCTACAACTAATCAGGCGAAAGATCTTGGAGTAGTTCTCTGAAGACGTCCATGCAGTGTGCAGCGGCAGTCAGAAAAGCAAATGGGATGTTAGAAATCATTAAAAAAGGGATTGAGAATAAGACAGAGAATATCTTATTGCCCTTATATAAATCCATGGTACGCCCACATCTTGAATACTGCATGCAGAATTGGTTGCCCCATCTCAAAAAAGATATATCGGAATTGGAAAAGGTCCGGAAAAGGGTGACAAAAATGATTTGGGGTATGGCACAGCATCCGTTTGAGGGGAGATTAATAAGACTGGGACTTTTCAGTTTGAAAAAGACGACTAAGGGGGGATATGCTAGAGGTCTATAAAATCATGACTGGTGTGGAGAAAGTAAATCAGGAAGAGTTATTTACTCCTTCTCCTAACACAAGAACTAGGGGTCACGAAATGAAATGAATAGGCAGCAGGTTTAAAACAAACAAAAGGAAGTATTTCTTCAACCAATGCACAGTCAACCTGTGGAACTCCTTGCCAAAGGATGTTGTGAAGGCCAAGACTATAACAGGGTTAACCCCCCCACCCCCCCAGAAAACTAGATAAATTCATGGAGGACAGGTCCACCACTGGCTATTAGCCAGGATGGGCAGGGATGGTGTCCCTAGCCTCTGTTTGCCAGAAGCTGGGGATGGATCACTTGATGATTCACTGTTCTGTTCACTCCCTCCGGGGCACCTGGCATTGGTCACTGTCGGCAGACAGGATACTGGGCTAGATGGACCTTTGGTCTGACCCAGTGGGGCCGTTCTTAGGTGTGAGTGCTTGAGACTAGAATAAAGTGCAGCTTTAATTGAGAACACTCTTGTCTTGTACTGTTTGTGCCAGCCACCTATCGGCTGGACACCTCGGTCTCCATTGATTTATTTTCTACCACCACCTCGCCAAGACTAAGAGTTACCAAGAGTCTGGGGTTTTTAGAAGCACAGTAACACCCTCACCATTGGACTGTTTCCTCTCCTGAACCCTGGGGGCTGGGATGTGAGACCTGATCACGCTCTGCACTAGAGCTGGTCCAAAGTTTAATTTTTGTTGTTGAAGACACTTTTTTGGACCAAAAAATGAACACTTTCAATTTTTGTTTGCCATTTTCCTTTTTCCCCTCAAAAAACTTGAACTTGTTTACCAAAAAGTTTACCGAAAGTGTGGTTTTAAGGGAAAACCGACATTTTTATCAAATAGAGATTCTGAAAACCAAACCTCTTCTGGTTGCCAGCTTTGGTTTTTCATCGCAAGTTGGCATCTGGACTCCTGGGTCCTATCCCTGCATCGTCTCCTGATTGAGCTCAGTTCCGCTCTCTGTGCCTCTGTTTCCCTATCTGTCATAGGGTCATGTCCACAGTGAGGGGTAGTTCCTTGGTGCATGGCAGAGAAGATCGTCGAGTGAGAAAGGGGGTGTGGAAGGATGCAGTGTTGTCATGTTGGATGAAAACATGCTTGTAGCTCACCGGAGAAGAGAAGGACTTCTGTTTGCTGTGGGAGATGGGGGAGCAATCTGGGCTCCTGGGAAAGCCAGGTAAAGGACCGGCCAGTGCTGACTGGTAGAGACACAGGATGCTGTTGCAGAGGCTAATCTGGAGAAGCCGTTGAAAGGATGACAGACAATAGGCTTAGGCAGGCAATTTGGGGGGGAACCATAAGGTGATTAGTGCAGTTCAGAGGGGATTTGAAGGGAAAACAGCCGTGTGGATCAGATTACGAGCTCAGAGGCTGGGCGCGACTGCCTGCGTGGAGCTTTTTCTCTCTTCTGGCTGCCGAGGGAGTTTATGGAACGTTCTGCAGAGATATGGCTCTGGCCTCGCTTTCCAGCATGATTCAGTTTTGCAGCCCGGTTATTATCTCTAGGCTAAGGCTTTTCAGGTCAGATGGAGGTGGGAGGAGGCCTGGCCCTGTGAAATATGGAATCGGCTAGATAGGGAGAGGCAGTGTGGCCTGGTGAATAAGGCACTGGGCTAAGCTGGCAGAGACCTGGGGCCTGTTCTTGGCTCTGCCAGAGCTGGGGAGGAGCAAAGCGCCGGCTCTCCAGTGAGGTAGCTTGATCTAGTGGGTAGAGCCTAGGACTGTGAGTCAGGACGTCTGGGTTCTACTCTTGATCTGGCGCATCACTTCCCCTCTCTGTGCCTCTGTTTCCTCTTCCCTCTGTTTAAATGCCAAGCTCTTCAAGGCACGGGTCTGCCCGTTTTGGTTGGCTGCATTCCTGGAGGTTTCCTCACAAGACATACGCTGTAATTAAAGATTGCTCTTTAATTCCTGGAGACTCCCGGACAATCCTGGAGGGCTGGTAACCCTACCAGGGCAGGGGCTGCTTCTTAGGGGCTGTGCACACTGCGGCCAGGGGGTGTGACTGGCAGCTGGGGCAGACACACCCGCTCCAACCGCGCCCGAGCTAGCTCGCCAAAAATGAAGGTGAGGACGTCACAACTGGGCTTCAGCACCGGCTGCACCAGCCCGCCTGACCCCCTAGGTATAATACTCGCTTTTATTTTTAGTGAGTTAGCTAGACTGCAGAAAGCCTGGGTCTGTCTACACAAGCTCTCCCCCCCGGCAATGTAGATGCTCTGTGAGTGTGTCTACACTGCAATCCGGGGGGTGATTGCAGCACATACGCAAATTAGCGTCGAGCTCAAATGAAAATAGCAGCGAAGCCGCGGCAGCACGGGCTAGGCATGCGAGTCTCCATCCGGGGTCCCAGGCGGGGTTCTGCTGTCACTGAGACAGTCCCCACTGCAAAGAGCTGGGGTGCTAAGGTTACGTCTGCACTGCAGAGCGCACCCGGGTCCTGGCCTGTGGGCGTGGGCTTGCCACGCTGGCCTCCAAGAATCCACATGGCAGAGCTGCTGACGCCCCAGACCCCTGTCCACCCCGGCGCGGCCATGAAATGTGTTTGGCGCTAGAATTGCTGGGGCGGGGAGGGGCCCGTATCCCAAGGTTCTTAGCGCCTCGCGATTTGCAGCCACTCTAGCAATTGGTGTGCAGCTGTATGGTGGCCGAAGTTGTCTGTCCTTCCCTTTTGCGGAAGCGTTCTCAGCACGTGCCAGCATGTTTAGCTGCAGGATTTCCCGTGCTGCACTTCTGTCTGCTCCAGCCGGCACCACTGGCTCCAGCTAGTAGATCCAGCACCGCTGGCTGAGCTGGTATCGCAGCTGGGGACGGATAAGGGGTCTGTGAGATAGTGATGGGCATTTCAGCCTCAGATCCTTCTACACCGAAGGCGGCGTGGGTGGGACTCAGAGGGGAGTCCGTCCATGCCACTCTTCTCCTAAGTAGACAAGTCCTGCAAAGTGTGGGACGGGAGACAAACGGGAAGGGGTTTGCTCAAGGTCACAGTCAGGGACAGAACCTCCTGACCCCACTCAATGCTCAGTCCACTAGACCGCACTGACAGTGTTTTGTATCGTGGCAGCACCAAGCAGTCATAGGCCAGGACCCCGTGGTGCTAGGCGCTGTACAAACACAGAACAAAAAGATTGTCCCTGCCCCAAAAAGTCTGCGACTGAAATGAAAGTCAAGAGGCAACGGATGGATGCAGGCAGGCAGGCAGGGGAGTATGACACTTCTGGCACGTGTCCCAAACGGTGGCTGCCCTTCGAAGAGTGAGAGGGTGCTCGGCCGGGCAGCACCATTTAGCTAGGAAAAAAGAGCTGCAAAATGTTGCTGAATTGTAATAAAGCAACTTCTTTCCTTTGCGACGTTGGGCTCGTTAGTCTCTCAATGCAGCAGAGTTAACGGCGCGGTATTTGGTAGCCTCGCTAGGTGTAGTATCAGCAAGCTGCTGCTGAGCTAGGTGAACAGAACTTTCTTTTTATGGGACGTGCCTGGCAGATCGCAGGAGGTTTAAAGTTACAGTATGTCACCATGGAAGTAAATAAACCTTGTGAGATGAGAAAAGTCGTCTTCATTCCGCTTAAGGAATTCGGAAGAGAGTTAAAGCTATTGACCCCTGGAGTTTGGGGATGGCTCTTTGCCAAGGCAATGGAAACCATGCGGATGAAGAACTGGGCTCTGGGGAGCGGGGTTTCAATTCCCAGCTCTTCCATAGGTTCCTTGAGCAAGATACGGAATCTGTTTGTGCCTCAGTTTCCCATTCTGTGTCTTTCCATTCTGTGTCCGCCCTGGTGGGTTGGACTGCACGCTCCTCGAGGAGTCTGTCCAAGCTGTGAATTGAGCCCTGGCTTGGGGTTTTAGCCGAAAGGCCCCCGGAAGAGTTAGGAGCAGCAGCAGCAGCTTGGTTAAGTGCCTGATCAGTGGTCTTTGCGGACGGGGCTGGGACTGTCAGACGAAGGGCCTGAGAGCGGGACAGGCGTCCGCTATAGCGCTGGCAGGCAGCTGAGACTGAATTTCATCCTAGTTCAGTGGCGATGGAAGGTACCTTGCTGGTTGAGTGAATTACTGGGGGCAGATAGTGCCCAGGGTGGCATCGGAAAAAGCCGATTTGTTGACCCCAAAATGGTTCTTGGGGACGTATCAGGTTCAACAACCTTTTGACGGGAACCTATCAGGCTCTGACAGAACTGTCTGGTCTCCTACCAGGCTGCTGGGGGCCCCCAGGCTTCCAGGATCTACGGCTCCAGGGCCACCCTGCCATGTGGACTGCCCCAGGGGCAGAAGGCCTCTAAATACTCCCCCTGTGTCTCCCCCTGCCACTGTTACAGTCCAGGGCCCTCAGTCATTTCTCCCACGCTAGCATTGTTAGAATAGTGCACAGGTGTAAATGACGCCAGGGGCAGGGCTGCGGAGAATCAGGCCCCATGGATTTGGTGATTTGCCTGGGTTGTCTTTTTCCAGATCTCTACTGTAAGTGAGGCCAAGACACCAAACAATTAGCCGGTGTCTGTAACACAGCCAGGAAGTAGGCAGGCGGGAGCTGTGGCATTGCTAAAGCTGCGGCACGAATTTCATCTCGAGGGCAGTTTTTGACCTTTCTTTTTATGCCGCATTGTAAAAGTGGCCGAACGCCCAAAACTTCCCCAGAAATGAACATTGCTGCTGAATTTGAATTTCCCCTGCTGGTTGGGTGCAGACAGGATTCAGAAGCACAGACTAGAAGCCCTTCCCAAAGCCCCCTGCGTAACATTTTCAGCAGAGCATCCTTTTGAACCCCTTTTGCAAAAACCCACCAACCAGCCAGTTACAACCGCCGGTTAGAACAAGAGCCGCCTGACCCCTCTTCTCTGAACACCCTCCAGTTCGTCCATATCCCAGTGCCCAGAATTGAACAGAAGTTCCCACAGCAGAGTAAACCAGGACAGGTCTGTTTACAGCAGCCTGATGGGGTGCGCTACTGATTCGGCCCAGCTGAGGAGGAACTCCCTGGGGTTTCAGCCTGGGGAGGCAAGGGTTAATGGAGAGAGCTGCCAATCAGCCTCCGACAGCCCTGGCCTGGGGCAGCTGTAGGGGGGAGGAAGGTGGCTGGGGGCCTGCAGGGGGGCGGATCAGTAGCCTGGCTGGCACCTCGCACTCAGGGCAGGTGCTTCACAGACAGTCTCTCAGTCTGGACTGGTCTGTTTTCCAGCAACTCTCAGATTCAGTCTCCCCCTGGACGGGTGAGGAGCCAGGAAATGGCTTTGTGCTGGCTGTGGTCTGGGGGCCGTGGGGAGGGGAGGAGAGCTGGGAACGCCCCACAGCAGAGCAGGCCTGAATTCCGGTCCGGGTGCCCACTTCCTCGCAGACCCCTGCCCATGCCGTGGCAGTAGGGCAGAGAAGGGACCCAGGGCAGGGAGGGACCTCAATAAACAAATGCATGTTCGGGACCCAGCCGCTCTGGGCCCCGGGAGCTCCGACTCCAAAGAGCCCGGAGGGGGCGGGGATGCCACGCCCAACTCGTCCGGCCTGGCCAGGTGCAGTGCAAAGCCCGGTGCCCCCAGGCCTCCGCAACCCCCTTCCTGCCCAAGGCCAGGCACTGAAAGGCCAGGCATGCAGACCGGGACCACAGAGCGGGAGGCAACAAGCTGCCCCTGGGGAGTGGGGGTTCCTGGCCGGGCAGGGGACGGGCGAGTGCTCATCTCCCAGGTTGTGCTGGGCCAGCCGGGATTCCTTTCCCCTCCGTGCGCCCCACTGTCTGAGCTGTGCCCAGGCAACCGTGTGGGGCCATGCTGGGCTCGCCCCACAAGGGCTGCGAGAGACGCACGCAGCAGCTGCTGTCCAGTGCCACCTTCCTTCCCATCAGCCGTTCCCTCGGCAGCAGGAGGAGAGAAGCTACCCGATGCACCAGCCCTTCCTGCCTCGGCCACGATGCCCACCGTTCACTGCTTCCCGCAGCCCCAGCCTGGCTAGGATAGGCCCCCCCCCCCCCCCGGCAGCGGTGATTCCCACAGTGACACACCTCATTGCCCGGGCATAACCCCTCCTAAGCTTCAGCCGAAACATTCCCTTCCCCCTTGCCACCCCGCACCAGCATTCCTCAGAAAACCCCACAAGGAGGGTGATGCCACGAGCAGGCGTAAGCCAGAGATGCAGAGATCATTATACCGTGGAGTCAAATGGTAGAGACTTTATTTATGAGATGGGGGGTTAACCTGTGGAACTCACTGCTACCCGGTATCCACAGTATTAAAATACAGCCAATCCTAAATATTTATGTGAATAACGAGATCCACGATTCCACCATTGTCTCAGAGAGTTGACGGCCCCATTGCCGGACCCAGTGTTTCTGCTTCGCTCCTGACTCAGTGACATTAACCCTTCGGAAGCTGCAAGTGAGTGTGTCATCTCCCCCCCCCCTCGCCCCCTTTCCATCCCTTGGCCTAGCAGGCTGGGGAACGCCTGGGGCCGGTGGAATTGGCAGTTGCAGTGGAAGCTCCTCTGGTCTTGGTCCCATCTCCGCTCCCTGCCGGGGAGGCCGTGCTACGCGATGGCCCCGGCGCTCAGGGCTCCCAGCGCCAGCAGCAGGATGATGAGGCAGTAGGACGGCGATGAGGCCAGGGACTGGTCTGGCGGGGTAGCTAAACAAGAGCGACGGGGTCAGTTCCTGTTGGGGGCGACTGGCGATGCCGGGGCGTTGCTGCATGGTTGGGGCAGGGGCTGGGATACCCAGGGACCCTCCCCCCCCCATTCCATATGGGGCAAGAGGAGATTGGACAAACAGGGCTGGGTCTGGGCAGGGCCATGCCGGCCTCGGTTCCAGCGTCTCCTCTGGGGAATCGGAGTCAGTTCTGCCCAGGAACCCCCCGTCCGTGGAGCTCGGCGCCTGAGGACTCTGACACGGAGCAGAATGAGGAGAGTGGGAAGTGATAGGGCTCAGACCTGCCCCTTGGTCCCCCCAAGTCTGAGCCCCTTGCTCTGCCGGCTCCCTGTGAGTAGCTCACCAAGTGTCTGCAACGCTGCGGGATGTGGCCGCCCTCCCCGGGCCCTGCCCCGCTGATGTTCCAGACCCTTCCCCTGAGCTTCCCCCCTGGTAGGGACCTTCTTAGAGCAAAGACCAGCTCTCCCTGCCCCCACGCCGGGCAGCGCTTTCCCAGGGGGTTACCTGCACACAGGTCCTTTGGGGAGACCATTCTGGAGCTGTTACTTGCGGGGTGCCGGGCCGTGCAGGCGACGGCCGGGAGAGCCTCGAAAGGTCTCAGAGAGACGAGCAGAATGGGTCCGGTGGATACGACCGCGCCGCTGGCCTTCCGAGTCCAGCTGTAGGCCACGCGTCCCCCTCTCTCCCCGGCCACGCAGCGCAGGGTGTAGTTACAGGTTCCATTGGCACAAGTCACCGCGTCACAGACGATCGTTGTTGCTGGCACTTGCTCTGCGGGGTGGGGGAGGGAGAAATGGGATAAAATCCCTGGCACAACTCCCTAGCAGCTGCCTGGAACCGCTGGAGGAAGCGGAGCGCAGGAGGGCGGGTGGAGCACCTGCCCATAGATGGCTGGTCAAATAGTGTCAAAAATAATGTAAAAGCATCAATTTATCCGAACAGTAACGTCGGTAACAAGATACGGTTGTGGTCGCCAGCCCGCTTAGCCTCAGCTACTTCTCTTTAATCGCCAAAAAAAAAAAAAAAGTTACTGACCAGGGTGGCGGGTGGACCCCCGCTTCAGGGAGGCTAGCCCCACAGCCCCGCCTCCTCCGCCCAAGCACACCCCCCCTGCTGCCAGAGCCCCGAGCCTGCCCCCACTGCGGCTGGAGGAGCCCCAGGCCACCCCAACCCCTGCCCGCCGGCTGGAGCTCAGCCCCCGCTGGCTTCAGGGGAGAGGGGGAGTGAAGGCAGGCTCTCAGAGCGGAGCATGGGTGGGGCCGGGGCCTGGGTTAGGGGAGGCTTAGCCTGCCCTGGCCTTCGATACCCACACTTAAGCTAGGTGGGCAGCTAGCCAGCTCTTCGAGCAGCTCACTTTGCATTCTCTTACTATTTTTTTTTTATCTGCTTCACGTAGATCCTAGCCATCATCCCAGTCAGCGAATTCGTCAGTCTGTCCGTCTTCCTCTTCGCTGGAAGAGCATTGAGTCAGTTCTTCATCTGCCATTTTCTTCTCTGATTTCACACGGCGACACAGCAGGGGAGACTTTCTGTCTCTTTCTGGATTTTCAGTGCATGATCCCCAAACCGGCCAACTGAGCCATTTAAAGTGTTACAGGCATTTGTCGCTGTAACGAGATTGCAAGGCGGACGCTGCTTTGATTTAAGTGCGGGGATTGCACTCCGCATGGTTTTACGGCTGGCCGGGCTGCCGCTTACGCCATAACTTGCTACCTCCATCCGAACGGTCTGTTCGCTGGTTTAGCCTTTAAAATTCGCATGAGATGCTCTGAGGTCACAAGCAGAAATGGAATCACCATCGCAGATGTCTTGGAAGCGTGGATCTAGAAGGTAGACAGCAGGGTGTGGGTTTCACGCGGTTCACACCACTCATGGCTGGGGCGCCTCCTTGTGGCTCACCGGGGGATTGGCTCACCGCTGGTTTGCTGCACTGCCGCTTGCGGTTTCTTGCCTCCCTTGCCCCAATCGCGCACTTGGCGGCTTCTCTCATGCTCCGCGAGCTCCAGCATTTCCTCTTTGTGGCTTGGCCCTCTGGCCAGGTGGCTGCAGTTTCCTCCCTTTGCGGGGGTCAGAGTCTCGCTAAATAAACTGCCTCGGGAAGTCTTCAAAATCCACTGCCCTGCCCCTGTTACCCTCCCCGTCAGTGACTGGGAGGGAAGGCCAGGCCCTCCCTCCACACCGGCTCCCTACAATCCCCAGCTCAGGTCCAGGTGGCCTCCTTCTAATGCTGTTTTCCTGAGGCTGCTTCCTGCTCCCTTCTCTCAACCCCGAGAGTGACTGACTCTCCCCCTGGCCCTGCCAGGCCCTTTCTGCTTTCCTCTCTCTGGTTTTATACCAGCCCAGCCAGGCTTCAGGCTCAATTCGGGCTGTCTATCCAGCCCACACCTTACCCAGGTGCAGCCCATCCTGTCAGGTAGCCCCTCCCTGAGCCCTTTTAACCCCTTGAGCGGCGGTGTAGGGTGAACACCCTGTCAGTGCGGGAATGATCCCTTAGTTTTTCCGTGGTGTTGTCCCTTTCCTTCCACTCTTGTGAGTGGACTATGTTCACTGCTCTCATGAGGATGTGTCTGAACGTTCAGGAACCCGTTCTGGGCATCAGACGACGCAAAAGTGTCATTTCCCGCATTCTGAATGGACGGAACGCCGGGTTCAAGCAGTGAACTGAATGTTGAGTTTCACGTTTGAAAGACATGAGGAATGTCACGGTGGGCTGTCCACACCTGGCCACCCCTTGCCCGACAGCTGCGGAGCGACGAGCCTTCCTGCACATTGGAGGATCTCTGAGACGGTTGGTAGAAGAGGCCCAGCAAGTACCACGAGACGTTCTCGGCATGGCTCTGCTAACGACGCTGGAGAAAGGTTGCTGGGTCTTGTTTCGTTTTGAAAACCAGGACGACGCTCTTCCCTTTTGACCCGTGGGGAGAGAAAACTGTCAGATCTTCAGCTTCCCCGGCAAGAAGTGGCCTTGTCCGGGCAGCACGGCCGGACTCCCGACGGCGGGAGTGCTCATGTGTCAACAAAGCCCACGCAGCCTCCATATGAGCCGCGGTGTTGGTCCCAAGCCCAGACCGTTCCCTGGACCCGGTTCGTTGGTGATATTTTTTTTTTAAGAGGTCTGCAATCTCCTGGCCTGGTGAGCAATGGACCAGAGAGTGGGGCAATGCTCAGCTGCACACGGGAATGAGTAAAGCACCGGCTGTGGGGTCGTCACCATGACGTCATGCCACTATTGCTCCATCCGTCTGATGCTGGAGACACATGAAGGGCTTGCGCAAGAAGAACCCTGAGGGCTGGGGTCACAAAGGAACGTAGGGACACAGAGCCGCCGCGCCTAACTCGGAGGGGTCTGGGACGCCACTGAGATTCACAAGCCTGAGTCTGGCGCCCCGGCGTCCCGTGCAACCAGTGGGGACCGATAGGTACAAAGGGATTCACGCTGGGCAGGGAGCCCTCCCCCTCTCATGGCCTTTGCCGCCTGTCTCTGCTGGGGACTCTCAGCTGGGAACCCTCTCTTGGGCATGGGCTGCCAAGGCCTCCCCTTGTACCGTGTAGCCCCGTGGTGAGGGCCCTCCCCCGGGTGGGAGAAGGGGTTTGAACAGGGAGCTGCCACCTCACAAGTGAGCGATATAACTGCTGGGCTCTGGGATAGCCTGATGGGGGGCGGGGGGCTCTTTGGATCTCTGATTAATGAGTGGCTGGAGCAGGGGATCGGATCCTGGGGCTCCCTGCTGGTTCTCTTTGCGGCCCCATGACTCTGCACTGGCCCAGCCACAGGGACGCTCCAGCCCCTTCCCTTGATATCTCCCCGGGGGGACGGAGGGGCAGCAGCTTTCTCAGAGGGGGAGGTGGGGCAGGGGATTGCTGGGGTGACAGTGCCCCTTTAAGTGCAAAAAAGTGTTGGAGACCAGAGTGGTTTCATTGAAATAGTCGTGGGGTCAGGGCAGAGGCAGGGACCCGATGCCAGCTCTCTCCAGGAGAGCCCCGGGCAGCGTTTCCCTGCAGAGGGCATTACCTGCGCAGAAGTCCTTCGGGGAGATGGTCCTGGAGCTGTTCCCGTCGGGGAGACGGGCCGTGCAGGTGACGTCCTTGTGGGCAGCCTGGTGCCGTTGAGGGATGTGCACGGTGGAGTCCGTGGACAGAACGCTGCTGGGTGCGTTACTCCAGGTGTAGGTCACGTTCTCCCTTCCGTCCCTGACGGCGCAGCACAGGGTGTAGCTACAGGAGTCCTCCTCACAGGCCACTGAGTCACAGGTGATGGTGGGTGGCAGTTGTCCCTCTGTGTGGGGGGAGAGAAACATGGAACAGGCTGAAATCCCTGCAGCAACTTACTAGCCACTACCTGGATCTGCTGGGGGAGCAGCACGCAAGGAGCCCTCTGCATCTTCGCAGCGCTCTTGGGGCAGGGGCAGGGGGACATGAAGGTAATGGGACAGCTGGGAGGGGGCGGACGAAGGAGGGATCATTTGGGGGGCCCAGCTTGGGGATCGGTTGGGGGTTGGAGCTGGTTGAGATTTTCCAATGAACATCTTTTCCATCTGAAAATTTGGTTGTGTCAAAACTGCCATTTTCGGCGGGGGAAAAGTTGATGCCAAGAAAAATGAACACCTGCTTCGGAAACCTGAACAAGCAAAACCCCAACCGTTGCATTCGAACGGTCTTTCCCCTCCACCCTTTGGAGTCCGCCCTCAGGGGCAAAGTCGCTGTGGAAACCGATCAGTATTTCGACACCTAGTGTTTCAGAGGGAGTGAAAATGTTGAAATGTTTAATTTTCTGTTTGGGATCTTTTGAAACTTTTCATGCCACTATTTTATTCTCATTTTTTTTAATTTCTACTTCACATCCCGATCAGGGGCAAAAGCAGATGTCGAAATGGCCCTGTGCAATGGAAACGCTGTTCCTGACTAACTCTCTTGGGGTGACCAGCGCTGGAGTTGTGGGATGGGGAAAGCAGACCAGGAAGTGGAGCCCTGGGTTGGGTGGGGGAAACCTCGATTCCAAGAGGAGTTTGGGTTTCGGATGGGCCAGGACCATGTGGGGCAGTGACCAGAATGAGGGAAGGAAGCTGCAGCAGAGCACAAGTGGGAAAGGGCTTCAGAAGATGGAGGAGCAGGGAGACAGGGCTGGCGAGCAGTGGAAGAGACAAGCGCAAGGCGGAGGACGAGAAGAAGCAGCCACACTAAGATGTTTGCAAGCAGCTGTGAGTTTCCTGAGCAAAGCGGGTTCCAGGCTCCATCAGGGTTCCCCCTGCCCCAGCACTTACTGGACACGCGCAGCGTGAATTCCCTGTAGGCGAATTGCTCTTTGTCTGTGCTGAATTCCACGGTGTAGCTGCCCATGTCCTCCATCCTCAGGTTGGTGATCTGAAGCGAGTAGCTCTCATCATGGAATCGCAGGCGTCCCTTGTAGGATAGGTCAAACACCAGGACATGGGGAGGTTTCCCTGCGGTGACGGTGGCTAGACTGCTTGTGTTTACTGCCCAGGCCCCGTGTATAAATTTCTGTGCTGCTGGGATCCTCAGGGGGAAAGTGACCGATCCTCCCAGAATCCCGGTCAGCTCCGACTCGTCTGCGGCTGCTCTGGAGTACTCTGGTGCACAGGAGGGAAGAAAAGGGAATAGATGGACCATGGACACACCAGGCCAGTTCCCTCCATGGTCTCTGTGCGTGCTCCACAGGAACCAGGGGGAGTCACAGATTACAGGAGTGGGAGGGGGAAAAATTGTTTCCCCTGGATCTGGGCTCAAACCCCAGAGATTGCAGATCTGGATGTCAAACGTCCCATGGCCGGGCAGCCTTCCCACCTGGGGTGTTGGTTTGGATATTACAGAGCGAGGGGCCATTTGTGAGGTTGAGAGCCGGATCTGGCTTTGGAACACATCCGCTCTTGGGGGACAGAGATCTGGTAGCAGTAGGGGGGTCTAACCCTTGCATGGGGTGCAGCCTCTAGATAAAAGACCCTCAAAAGGGACAAAACCCCTCACTGTACTAGAGTGGGATACAGCTTTTCCAGGGGTTTTATCCGCGTAGCCAAGGGAAGCTGGTGATCCTATTACAGCCCATTGAACGGCTGAACGAATCGGTCTGTCTCTCTCCATGCCCACCCATCTCTCTCCCCCCACAGGTGCTGGCGAATGGTGGGTCGTGCCATAACCAGCATAGCAGAGGGAATAGCTGCTGCCACAGAAATAGTCTTGCCAGCATCTCCACCTCCCAAATTATCTTCCAGATGCTTTAGCAGCCGGGCTCTGCTGGAGCCAGGGGGGAACCTCGAAGCCCTTAGGGCAGCAGGTCTCCTGGGAGAGGCAAGTTCCACCCCTTTGCAGGGCTGGTAGCTGCCTCTCAGGCCAGAAGTAGCCAACGTGACATTTCTGTTGGTATTTCTACATCCCCACTAGCGGTTCGGGGCTGGGAAGCAGACGAGCAAGGAAATGTAGGTCGAGATCCTGGGCCTGATTCTCCACCGCTCTGCATCTTGCGTAACCACCTCCCCCAGGGCAAAGCCAGGGTGAAATGCTCCTGGTGCGATCCAGGAGCATTTCACACGCGGGTCCGCGGAGGATCAGGCCCGACCGGGGGTTCCTGGAAAAGTCGTCTTGGTGTGAATGAGACGGATCAACCCAAAGGGTCAGGTTGGTCCCACCCGCCCCGTGGCTCACGCTGGGCCGGGCCCAGCTGTTGTGCAGGTGCAAGGAGGGGCCGTTTCATCTCGGCCTCATGACTGTCCTCCAGGAATCGCCCCCCCACACACTCCCAAGCCCCTCTCCTCTCCCGAGCTGGGCTCTCGTTTGCTCCCTCTCCAGGGGCCTGCGGAGTTTGGTGGCCCTGCTACGGCTCTGTGTGCAGGTCACGCTCAATGTGATTGGCCCACGGCAGGCCCTGGGCAGGGGGTGGGGAGCAGGGAGTGGGAAGCACGAATCCGTGCAGACCCCCCCCCCCGAGCAGCCGCCAGGAGCTGCCAGGGAAGCAGTAATAACCCTGCCCCTGCCCACTGCCCTGCTACCCCTAGGGACAGGGGCTCAGGGCATCCCCTGCTGCACCGCGGCCGCCTCGCAGGAGTCCCCCTTCCCTCCCTCCCTCCTCTCAGCCTCCAGACCCACAACCTGACCCCTCCTTCTCCCTCCCCCAAGTCCTCCCGTCTCCCATCCCCAGGTCCCTCCTGGCAATGCTCTATGCTTTGCCCTGCCATTATGCAGGACATCCCTCCCAGCATCGTCCCTCTGCTGCGGGGAGATGGTCCCCCAAGAGCACAGGAGCGCTCTCGGGCCTGCCCAGACCCTTCCCTTGGCCACCCCAGGATCTTCAGGGTCTGTGTAGCTTCCCACAGGTCTTGCCCCCAGCTGCTAGAGAGGAGGGGACCCTGCAGGGTGAGGTGAGCTGGGAGTGCAGGTCTATTCCAGCCCCGGGTTCTACCTCTGTTCAGCTCTGCTGATGCCCCTCAATCCTGACATGCAGTCCCCCCATTCCAGCGCTGGACTCCCCTTCCCTCCTTCAGCTTTGCTGATAACCCTCAATCCTGACGTTCAGCCCCCACCCCCACCCCCCCCGGTTATTCCAGCCCTGGCCGAGGAGCTATTTGCAGGGCTGCAATAACTCTACGTGGAAAAGAAAGCAAATGGATTGAATCAAACCCTAGACTCCCAGTTGCCCCAGGTGTGGGGTTTGTGGGTAACCCATGTGTCACCATTTCCTGCACCCAATTCAGACAGATCACTCACCGCCAGGCTGCAAGAGCAGAAGCAGCAAAAGAAAAGAAGGTCGAAGAAGAGCCCCTTCCATCCTGACAGCGTGGGGCAGTGGGTGTCGGAGAGCCTCACCAAATCGAGCCGGAGCCTGGAGTGGTTCGGATGGGAACGTGTGGCTGGCAGGGCGATCCTGGCTACCCTCTGTGGCTGAGGATGGACTGCAAAGAAATGAATTGCCCTGTGGCTCTGCAATTTCTCCACCGGGAGATGGGATATGGCAAGACCACACCCCACTGGCAGTGATGTGACTCAACTCTTGCGGTGAGTCACCCAATGAGCTCAAAGCAGCCGAGTTCCCTAACCCCACAGGGTGTGTCACGCTGAGCGCGGGGCTCCACTCAGCTGGGCTCAAGCCCAGGGGGCTGGGTTGGGGAAGGGTCCTCTAATTGCTCAGGGCTGAAAGGGACGGCGGGTGGGACTGAAACGGACATGGTTCCTGTGATATTGGATGGTTCTGTCTATTGCATTGGAGAGCCTGCCAGAAACTGTTTAGTAAGCACATGGTAAAAAAATATAAGGGCAGGTTAAGAAAGAAACATTTAAACTATAAATACAAGGCTAGGTTAAGAAAAGAGCATTTAAAAAGAGTTAAGTTAAAAGAGAGAACAGGGCAAGAAAACTGAAAAGAAAGCCCCTTTGCAAAGGGCAAAGATAGACAGCATGTGGTTGAGGCAGAGAGAGAGAGAGAGAGATCTTACCCTTCCAAGTGTTTCTGTGGAAAGAGGCAACTTCCCAGGTTCACAGCCCCTCAGGCTTGTTATCACCGCCTTTGGGTTGGCCCAATCAGATCTTGTTCTACAGCAGTGTCATACAATTCATTTTCCGGAACCAATCCTATAGTCCCAAGGTTTTTAAACAAGACCCACCCCCCCTCCCTTTAACAGCATTAATCTTATCTAAAAAAAAAAAAGACCCCAAGCATTTTTCCCCACCATGTAGCCCTTTTACAGGGGGACTTTAATAAAAGTTAAAACCATAAGCCCTTAGTAACAAACAATTTTAAAAATTTCCCCCCTATGTTTTAGACTAACATTGGTTATTTTTTAATAAGGATAATTTGAAGCTGCAGCAAAACCCCTGTTAGCAAAAACAGCATCTGTGAGCCAGTGGATCAGAGATAAGAAGGCTGCTTCTTCCCCAAACTTTTTAACAAATGCAAGTAAAAGTTATATTAAGTCTTGTAAAGGGATAAACACTTTAAAAGACAAACCTATATTGTCAAGGTTCCTTCCCCACTCTGAACTCTAGGGTACAGATGTGGGGACCTGCATGAAAACCCCCTAAGCTTATTTTTACCAGCTTAAGTTAAAACTTCCCCAAGGTACAAACTATTTTTCCTTTTGCCCTTGGACTTTATTGCTGCCACCACCAAGCGTCTAGCAAATATATAACAGGGAAAGAGTCCACTTGGAAATGTCTTTCCCCCCAAAATCCTCCCCAAACCTTACACCCCCTTTCCTGGGGAAGGCTTGATAAAAATCCTCACCAATTTGCATAGGTGAACACAGACCCAAACCCTTGGATCTTAAGAACAATGAAAAAGCAATCAGGTTCTTACAAGAAAAATTTTAATAGAAGAAAAGGTAAAAAGAATCACCTCTGTAAAATCAGGATGGCAAATACCTTACAGGGTAATCAGATTCAAAATATAGAGAATCCCTCTAGGCAAAACCTTAAGTTACAAAAAGACACAAAACAGGAATATCCATTCCATTCAGCACAGCTTATTTTATCAGCCATTTAAACAAAACAGAATCTAACGCATCTCTAGCTAGATTACTTCCTAAGTTCTAAGACTCCATCCTTTTCTGTTCCCGGCAAAAGTATCACACAGACAGAGAGAACCTTTGTTTCTCCCCCTCTCCAGCTTTGAAAGTATCTTGTCTCCTTATTGGTCATTTTGGTCAGGTGCCAGTGAGGTTATCTTAGCTTCTTAACCCTTTACAGGTGAAAGGGTTTTTCCTCTGGCCAGGAGGGATTTTAAAGGTGTTTACCCTTCCCTTTATATTTATGACACGCCCCGCAAATCACAGATAGGGTGAAACGCTGGCTGTGATTTCTTCCTGGAGCTATAGGAGAAAACAGAGTTAATAAGACACATGCACCTCTAAATATACTACCAAGTACATAAAGACTAACAATATTTTCCACATCTCAAGGATGATTTTAACCAGTTGATTCTGGGAAACTTTCATGGGAGAGTGCATCAGCCACTTTGTTAGAAACTCCTGAGATGTGTTGGATGTTGAAATCAAAATCTTGGAGAGCTAAACTCCACCGAATAAGTTTTTTGTTATTTCCTGTGACGGTATGAAGCCACTATAGCGCAACATGGTCGGTTTGCAGGTGGAAACGCCGTCCCCAAACATATGGGCGTAGCTTTTCCAGAGCGTAGACAATAGCGTAACATTCTTTTTCACTGACTGACCAGTTGCTTTCCCTCTCAGACAGCTTCTTGCTGAGAAACACTACAGGGTGGAATTCTTGATCCGGTTCTTCCTGCATTAAAACTGCTCCCACACCACGCTCGGACACATCTGTGGTTACTAGGAACGGTTTGTCAAAGTCTGGGGCCCTTAGCACAGGGTCAGACAGGAGTGTCGCTTTAAGCTGGTTAAAAGCCTTCTGACGCTTTTCTGTCCACTGAACGGCATTTGGCTGTTTCTTTTTGGTTAGGTCTGTCAGTGGGGCGGCGATTTGGCTGTATTGAGTTACAAATTGCCTGTAATATCCGGCCAAGCCTAAGAAGGATTGGACCTGTTTCTTTGACTTTGGGACAGACCGCTTTTGGATAGCATCCACTTTGGCATGTAGGGGGTTGATTGTTCCTTGACCCACCTGGTGTCCAAGGTAAGTCACTCTGTTTAGGCCTATTTGACCCTTCTTAACCTTAACAGTTAGTCCTGTCTCCCTTATGTGCTCAAAGACTTTTTGTAGATGTTCCAGGTGTTCTGCCCAGGAATCCAAAAATATGGCCACATCGTCAAGGTAGGCGACTGCATATTCTCCTAATCCCACTAGGAGACCATCTACAAGTCTTTGGAAGATGGCAGGTGCATTGCGCAGCCCGAAAGGGAGCACATTAAATTCATACAGCCTGACATGGGTGGTGAAGGCTGACCTTTCCTTGGCGGATTCATCTAGCGGTACCTGCCAGTACCCCTTGGTTAAGTCCAAGGTAGAGATGAACTGGGCCCGTCCCAGTTTCTCTAATCGTTCATCTGTGCGTGGCATTGGATAGTTGTCTGGGCGAGTTACAGCATTTAGCTTACGGTAGTCCACGCAAAAACGTATCTCCCCATCTGGTTTGGGAACTAGAACCAGTGGAGATGCCCATGCGCTGCCAGAAGGGCGGATTACCCCCATCTGTAACATATCCTGGATCTCCCGTTCTATAGCAGTTTTAGCTTGAGGAGACACCCGGTATGGTTGGACTTTAGTTGGGTGAGCATTACCTGTGTCAATGGAGTGGTATGCCTGTTCAGTCAGTCTTGGGGTGGCTGAGAACTTCAGCGCATAGCTAGTGCACAGCTCCTGGATCTGCTGTCGCTGCATACGCCCAAGGGTCATGGAGAGGTTCACCTCTTCCACACCACCAGCACATTTCCCTTCGTAGTAGACACCTTCAGGCCACTCAGTGTCGTCTCCTCCCTGGGCTGTAAACTGACAAACCTTTAATTCTCTGGAATAAAAGGGCTTTAGAGAATTAATATGGTACACCTTAGGCTTTCGGTTGGAGGTGGGGAATGCTAGGAGATAATTAACAGCTCCCAGGCACTCCTGGACTGTGAATAGCCCTTCCTACAACGCTTCCATTTTATGGGCCTGGAGCGCCTTTAAGACCATGACCTGGTCCCCTACCTTGAAGGAATGCTCTCTGGCATGTTTATTATACCAGGCTTTTTGCTCTTTTTGAGCATCCTGTAGGTTTTCTTTAGCAAGGGCTAAAGAGGTTCAGAGGGTGTTTTGTAGGTTGGTTACAAAGTTCAGAATGTTAGTTCCTGGAGAAGGTGTAAATCCCTCCCATTGCTGCTTCACCAACTGTAATGGCCCCTTTACCTCGCGGCCATATACAAGTTCAAATGGTGAAAACCCTAAACTGGGATGTGGTACAGCTCTGTAGGCAAAGAGCAACTGCTGCAACACTAGGTCCCAATCATTGGAGTGCTCATTTACGAATTTACGTATCATGGCCCCCAAAGTTCCATTAAACTTCTCCACCATGCCATTTGTTTGATGGTGGTAAGGAGTGGCAACCAAGTGATTTACCCCATGAGCTTCCCAAAGGCTTTCCATAGTTCCTGCCAGGAAATTAGTTCCTGCATCTGTAAGGATGTCGGAGGGCCAACCTAGCCTGGCAAAAATGTCTGCTAGTGCCTGGGACACATTTTTAGCCCTGGTGTTGCTTAGAGCTACTGCTTCCAGCCATCGGGTGGCAAAATCCATGAAAGTCAGTATGTACTGCTTCCCTCTGGGTGTCTTTTTTGGAAAAGGACCCAGAATATCCACAGCTATACGCTGAAATGGAACCTCAATGATGGGGAGTGGCTGGAGAGAGGCTTTGACCTGGTCTTGGGGTTTTCCCACTCTTTGGCATACCTCACAGGACCGGACATAGGTAGAAACATCCTTACCCATTCCCTCCCAGTGGAATGACCTCCCCAAATGGTCTTTGGTCCTGTTCACCCCAGCATGGCCACTAGGATGATCGTGGGCTAAGCTCAAGAGCTTGACCCGGTACTTAGTTGGAACTACCAACTGTCTCTGAGGATGCCAGTCTTCCTGGTGTCCACCAGAAAGAGTTTCCTTGTATAAAAGTCCTTTTTCTACAACAAATTTGGATCGATTAGAAGAGCTGAGAGGCGGTGGGTTGCTCCGTGCCGCCATCCAAGCTCTTTGGAGGCTTTCATCTGCTTCAGTCTGGAACTGTTCCCTGGATGCTGGAGACATCAGTTCCTCATTGGATTGTGGACCTAGGCTTGGTCCCTCTGGAAGCGATGTAGGGGATGGGGCTGCTTCTGTTGACTGTGAACCGCTCTCCACTGGTGCACTATGTTGGGATTCAGGCTCCGGATGAGCCTCTGGTGTAGGGTTATCAGCTGCTGCCGGTTCAGGTTCGGTGGGGCCCTCTGGTGTTGGGGTTGCAAGTACTGGGTTCAGTGCTGGCAATGGGTCTGGTGCTGGTTGTTCTGCTGGTTCCGGTTCTGGGACTGGCTCTGTCTGGGTCTCTGGGACTGGATCCACTACTGCTGTTGCAGACATTGGCCTGGGGTCTGGGTCCACCACCTCTGACCGGGTCCTGGTAGAAGTTTCCAGAACAGAGCTAGCTGTGACGGCTTGTTTAGCCTGGCTGCGGGTGACCGTTCCCACCCTCTTGGCTTGCTTCACATGATTTAGGGACCGAATGGCTAGGCAGCAGTTCTGCGGAAAAGGACCTAGGGGTGACAGTGGACGAGAAGCTGGATATGAGTCAGCAGTGTGCCCTTGTTGCCAAGAAGGCCAATGGCATTTTGGGATGTATAAGTAGGGGCATAGCGAGCAGATCGAGGGACGTGATCGTTCCCCTCTATTCGACATTGGTGAGGCCTCATCTGGAGTACTGTGTCCAGTTTTGGGCCCCACACTTCAAGAAGGATGTGGATAAATTGGAGAGAGTCCAGCGAAGGGCAACAAAAATGATTAGGGGACTGGAACACATGAGTTATGAGGAGAGGCTGAGGGAGCTGGGATTGTTTAGCCTGCAGAAGAGAAGAATGAGGGGGGATTTGATAGCTGCTTTCAACTACCTGAAAGGGGGTTCCAAAGA